TCTAGGAAAAAGAATGTAAAGATTTGTAAACAGACAAAGAATTTTATTTATGCTCATTTTCAGAAAATGGCCTCGTACAAGGGAACAAATGACTTGCAGGGCGTTCGGAATTCCCGTTGCGGCTCCGCCTGGCCGTGCTCCCCCCGCAGGACCCCCGCTCCCGGCGGCCGCACCGTTCCAGCCGCGGTGGAGGCTGCAGGCGCCACCTGGCGGCACAACAGCCGCAGCTCTGCTTCCCAACGAATCGGGCAATGAGGCGAGCGGAGAACGCGTTTGAGTAAACACGCAGCATTCGTGCTCAAGTGAGAGCAAGAGGGACAGAGAAGCAGTAAAAGCTGAAGTAAGAATTATTAATAAGTAATGCAGATTTCTCATGAGCACAAAGAGCCGTTTAGGAACGTGGCAGACTGGAACTTGATGTAAAGCCATTCACTTACCAGACCACAGAAAAACCTGTGCTCGGCTTTGGTTCACGTTGCCCAACCAGGTAACACATTTTTCTGAAGCTTCTTCTGTAGCAACTTCAAATACGCACTCATCAGAGTTCTGCAAATTCAAGAGCTAAAGCTTCTTCAGGCTCTATTCCTCAAAGATTTTAGGCATCAGTGCTCCGGGTAGAGCACTGTACCTGTTCAGCACAAACTAGCTCACTGCTGGCGTTCTTACTCCTTTCTGCTGATGATTTTTTGCTTGTTTGGTTGTTTTGGTTTTTTTTAAACATTCCTCAACTGAAATTAGAGTTGGCTTCAGGGGTCAAGAAGCAAGTCTGAGGACAAAGACATCAGTGTTACATAGTTCACAGAATGTTTTCTGTGAAAAATACCATTCCATTTCTCAATTTGCAGCTAGAACTACAACAGAAAATTCTTCAAGGTGAATGTAATATGCACGCAAGCCAAATGCTCAACTAATTTCAATAAATTGCTTACAGGCCAATTAAGTATCTTGCAGCCACACTGTCCTTGGCGTCATTGTAGAGTATGTTAAATACGGATTTAACATTTCAGATTAAGTATTTATTTTGCAGACAAACTTATTTACTGTGTTGGTTTTAAGTTAGCTTTTGAGGGTTTTCAAGGATATTCAGTCTTGGGTGGCAGGTTTGAAGATTATTCTTGAAAAGCTGTCCATAATCTACACGTATTTTTCAAATTATTAATTGGTAAAAAGCTCTGTTTGTAAATCTTGCAGTCTGCAGATTATGCCCATTTTTCTCACAAGAAGCAAGCCAGTACACTGCATAAAAATTGAAGACTGTCAATAATGATACAACTTCAATTTAAATGAAGTGAACACAGCCCAATCCTTAACTTCAGTAAGACTGTATCACCTTAAGGAGATTCAAAACCATAGAGGACAGAATACACCAGTTGTGTATTTTGTTGTTTCCATACAGTTATTCTATATTATTTTAAATCTAAAGGTTTTGAATCCTCCCTTCCTCCAAAACGTGGGCAAGGTATGACTTGAAAAATCAAACCTGAAAAAGGAAAATAATTCAGAATCATTCTTTAATAGAGTTTTAAGGTGTATTTGCTAAATGTCATGAGTGATGTAGCTCATGAAGATCATCTCTCTGAATAGATTATGCAGCAGTGAAATACAGAATGAAAGAGAAGCCTGGTAAAAAGTTTACTGTGGGAAGTTAAGAAAAAGGAAATAAAGAAGGAAAGGGAACAAGAAGAGAAGCAGCACAGCCCAGAAGCAACACGGTTTCCAACAACTGATCATAGTTTCCCATCAGATGAAGTAAGAGGCGTTTATCAAAGAAATAAGGATATAAAGAATAATCTCTTTAAGGGAATGAATTATTAATTTTATTCTCACTGCAGATTCCCATGATACTGCTGAACTAAAGTACGTTTGGCATCTGACTGAAAAAATCAACACTTTTCAGTGGGTAAAATTTTAATAATGACACCATAAAACAATTATACAAAAATCATGTACATATTTTGACAGTTTAAATAATAAATATATATATACACATACTTGTTTTTTACTTTGTGGAAAAGCAACTTTTGATAGTTTTAGATTGTGACTGATTGTAGCTGAAAAAAAAAGAAACCAAACCTATTTTTCTCCAATAGGGCACTTGGAAGTTTGACAGTTCATCAAATTCGTAACAAGAAACTTATTGTAATGGGTAAACCAGTAAAGCTGATGCAGAGACGATGAATGGAAAACAACAGAATCCCTAATGTCCCTGCAGAGTACCGTGCCCTGTATAGTACTGCTTGGACATGAGGAACAAGAAAATGTGTGTCAGAAGAAACCTGGTTTTGCTTGTAGGGCGGTGGAAAATAAGTTATACAATACAGGATCCAGAAGATGTGAAGTATAACACAGCACTTGTGGCTGCAATGTTTCATGTTCCCCCGTGGCTGCTGGAGCAATGACTAGAACACTCAGACTTCAAAGCCAAACTGGAAACCCCCTCCCCCTTTCAGTTCAACATCATCATTGACCAGATTAAAAAATTCAAGAGATGTAAACAATTGAGAGTTTTGAGATGGGGATAGAAAACGGGAGGAAGAAAAACAAGAAAAATTTTGGAAAAAAGAGTATTCTAGCTCCAAAGGGATTATAGAGTCTCAACACCCTCCAGATATTTCAATCATGACTTATGTACCAGTTTGCCCTCATTCAGAAAAACCACCAAGATATTTCAGATGTAACAGAAGCCTTCAGCTTCAAAATACAATAAGTGAAATGCATGAACTGGATCACTAGATTAAGATACTATTAAAATACAACCATGAGGGTCAATAAAATAAAATGATTTCTTTGTGTAGGTGTAAAGAAAAACTACTTGAAATATGTAAGTGAATAGCTAGATGTGAATATTTCCACAACACAGTAATGCTTCCAACTGTTCAACCATACCTGCTATCTGTTCACATGGCAGAAATTCTGTTTTAATTATAGGTCTCAGCTTTGTATCAGAATATATACAGGTATTTCTTTCTCTGTTTCTTTTGAAATTTGAGAGGTTACAGGTTTGAGGGTTTTTTGTTTGGTTTGTTGAGGTTTTTGGGTTTGGTGATTTTGTTGTTGTTGTTGTTGGTTGGTGTGGGTTTTTTTAAATTTTGGGCAACTAATATTTAAGGAACACAGATGAAAATCCACACAAGAGAACTCTAAAGGTATCTCAGTTTAAAAGGCATGTTTTTTCTCTTTTTCATACAATCAACATTCTTTTTTCAAGTCTTGCCCCTCCTGTCCCATGCTACATTCTCCACTACAATTTGTTGTTCAGCTGTGCAGACTTCAGACACTGATATGTAGTAAGCACTAAGGAATTTCCTGAGTCAGGTTTATTCATCATTACCTGTAAAAAGTAGAAGAGGGGGAGGGACAATGTGAAAAGGAGAGACACACAGAGACACAATTCAAGCTAGGGTTACAAAACAATCTAGAAACAATTCAGTGAGCAATAACACAAGAATCCACTAAGTCTGTCACCAATGAGGTGACCATGACCAAAGCTACCTTAAAGCACTACACACAAATACTGAACATCGTGTCATCTTGGATTAGTGAATTTAAGATAGTTGCACCTCAAGTGGCCTGCTTCAGTTAGAATAATCCTCTTAGGAAAAAGCAACAGAGATTTTCTCCCAACATTTCTTATTTGAAGAGTATAAGGCTTTTGAGGCAGAAGCTCATGAAGATCCTTCTGTCTGTTGTCCTCTATTCACCCCTATTAGCATAGGACTTTTTAATTTAAGTGTCTGAAATGTATAGAATTACTTTTTCTTATCATTTTTGGATGCTACCACAGATTTGTAAAATACAGAATTAGAACTGAATCTAATAAAAGTAGCCACTTGTTAATCAGTATTTTGCAAGATGAAAGTCAGCTCATTTTAACAGGATTCACTCAGACAACAGCTTATAATTTATATGTCAACATTTCAGCAAATTTTCATTTAAGCCTTTTAGTACTAGTTTTAAAATATCCTTAAAGCAGAGTAGCAAGCAAAAGAAAATGGTGACACTATAGTAACCATTTTCTTGTTATTCTACATTGCCAGTCTTTTGGACACTGGAAAAATGAACTACTACGCTGTATCTTTCCAAATCTGTCATTAAATCAATAAAATGTGCCTGAAAAAATATTTTTCAGACATTTCTCTGTCATATTTCTCTAACACAGCATGAAAACAACATGGAACTGATTGTTCTTACCTAGAAGTTCTATATCAATAGAAAAAAAAAATTGGGAAGATGTAATTTGGATTAGAATTTTTAAAAAAATTATTATGTTTTTATAACTAGTTTTAAGACACCCCCCCTTAATTATTTACATATAAAAGTCATAGAAAGCTGTACACTTACTTGACTTTGCACTGCTAATGCAACACATTTGTAAAAGCATTTCAAAGATGCAGAAAGTACATATTGCTTAACATGCATTAGAATATTTTTTTGAAAATTGAAATACATTATATGGTGATTATTACACACACTTTTAAAGCCAATAGAAGATGCTTCTGATTTCTATAAAACTGATTAAAATTTTAGATTTCTTCTTTTTTCCCTCTCCAGTGAAGACTTTCACCATTAGAAATCTAAAAATACATAACTGCAGTTAAATTTCTGACATCAGAGAAATGAAAAAAACCAAAATCATTCCCCCACTGATGATGGTCTGCGTGGTTTTTCGTAAGAGTGACTCTGAAAGATTCATCTCTCTGAAAGAAACATCCATCTGCCTTGTAACCTGTGCTAAGCTGGGCAGGGCTCCAGAGCAAAATAAATTATTTTCATGTATTACTGAGTCACCAACTAAGATGGATGGTACATACACATCAAGGTCTTCTGAAAAATGCTAATTATAGAATAAAGAGCTCCGTGAAATTTTCAGAAAAGAAATGATGGTGCAACCTAGTAACATTACAGAAAGCATAATACTATTTTAGCTAAAATTTCATTAATTCTTAAGATAAAATTGGTTTTGATTCTGCAAGTTTTTTGCTGGATTTCCTTTGCCCATCGGTGAAACTGTTTTACAGAAATTTAAAAATTATATTGTACCTTTTGCAATCTAATTATTATTACAGTTGACTGTACATGCAAATTCTGTCAAATCAGAGTGGTCAGCAAAGTTTGCCACATTTTGTTGCAGGAATAAAAATACCCTTTGTGGAAAATTTTAATTAATTTAGCCAATCAATATACCAAAGCACAGTTATGTTCTATATTTTGTGATACTGTGATGTTTTAAAAGTATATTAGAACTTATATTGTATATGACCAAGAAAGAATGTAAGACAATCTGTAATTGCCAGGATACATTGAGATTACCTTCTTGGTAGGCTCCATCTGCCATTACCAGGTGAAGTATTTTGGCATACAGGTGTTTGTGCTCATTTCCAAGAACAGTCTGAACTATGGTTGAACAAATATCAATATTTTCATCTTCATCTTCAAGTATAGCCTAGGGGAAAGAACAAACCATGTTGCCAAAATTAAAATGGGTAAAAAATTAAATAGTTCAAATTTATTAAGTGCAACTCATGGTTAAACCCCAAGTTCTTCTCTTTAATCCACTGGCTGAGCATTCTCTCTGTTAATATTTTAGTGTGCCAAAACAGATGAAAAAAATTTATAAAAAAACGTTTTCTCTAGTCATGCAAAGCAATTAGTTAACTGGCACAGCAAACAGTCCTAGGTACTTGTTTCTTAAAATAGTTCCACTTGAGCTTATTCCACAAACCTTTATTTTCTCATAAACTTCAATTAATTTATCAAAGCCTATTTCCTGCTCCAGGTTATATCTCAACTCTTCTAAATGGCTGAAGATACTATCACATTCTTCACATTCACTGGCAATCTCTCCATCACTATTATCTAGAAAGAAAGAAAACAACAGTAAAACCCCCTCAGTCTTCCTACATTCTTAATTCTGTTTCTAAATCTCTAAAACAAATATCCTTTAAAAGCAACCAAACAGGTAAGCTCAGGAGCAGTGGATGACGTTGGCAGATTTTCTGACACAGTGCAAGAAAATAGGAATAGTCCCTTTCTTGAAAAAAATCCCGAATCCCAAATGGGAAGCTATCCCCTGTAAACCCCACTCTGACAATTACTGAGAGGGGTGTTCAGCCTGAAGGAAAACAAGGTATGGTCTTAAAGCAGAATTTTAGTTAGCAAAGTAGGTCAAGTTCCATACCAACACTCTATAAATTTCTATAATTCTATAAATTGAGGTGAAACTCATGAAGGGTTCAGTGGCTGTCCCACACAAGGGAAGGAAGTTCCTTAATGAAGCAGCTGTCTTCTAGCAAAAAATAGGGACATGTATGTTACCCATCCACTACTTTCTGCCCTGAGATGCATCTTGTTCCATGGAGCAAGTCTAAAAAAACCAGTATTAAATTTAGCTACAGAGTTCCTTGTTCTTTTACAAATGCATCTCCTTTGTGTAGCAAATTAGGTATGCCAAGTGGTGCAATAAGACGAAGGACAGAAACCAAGATAATTTTGCTTATAGGCTACAGAAACCTTAAAAACAGGTTGTAATGGTAAAACATTAGGCAAATCTTACAAAAATGATGTTTTAAGAAATACAAGACAGAATCCCTATGTAAAACTCCATTATAAAATGCAGGAAAAATACTTTCTTAAACAAGCATCCAAATTTGGAAAGAACTTGTCCACTAGGGAAAAACTTCATACATTTCAGAGCATATAATATCAAATCTTTAAATACTATTATCTGATAGATCACAGACTTCATGAGTTAGTATTAGAACTCTACTACTTACAATTCTTATATAGTCCTGACCAAATCATATCCTTCATTCAAGAATCAACGGTCAAATCAATAAGAAATTATCATTAAAATAAAAAGTTGTATATGCATTAAAAACCCATATAGGTTATTTCTAATCCTCTATTTAACATCTAGATCCTCAGCAGATTTTGTCTCAAGTTCTATCTGTTACCCTTTTGAAGGCTGGCTTGCCTTTCTCCCTGCCCCAACAATGAAACTTGAAATTCTTATGGAATATGTAGAAGGCAGGACATTGGTAGTAAACACTAGCACTTGAATTAACAGCAGAATCACAGACACAGACAGTATTGCATGCTACTAGTGTATAACATGAGCACTGCCACAAAATTAAAGACATTAACAAAGCTTATTTTACCTTAAAATAATTATTGGAATGCATTATTATATGTTCAATCTGTTGAAATTTTTCTTCAATAAAAATTACACAAAAGCTTTGTTTTAGATGAGTTACTGATTTTCTGCATCTTTTCATAACTATATTTCTAATTGCACGTAACTTAACAGCAAGAGTAAAATACTTGTATTTCCACCAGAACTTAAACGACAGAAATGAGACTGCAGGACATTGCGCATATCTAATGCAAAATGCTAAAAGCAGTAATTAATTTACCTGTCTCACTTTTAGTCTGACTGCATTAATATCTAATTTTGGCTAAGGACAAGGTGAATAATTTCATGTTCCTTTTGACTGCATGTTAAATGACTTAACTGTAATTTAAGCTGGATCCCAGATACTCCAGTCATGTCATTTGTTATTTCTTTTTCACACTTACAGCCGTGAATTATTTAAGACATACAATGCATTCTGTCTTTGATCTTCCAGTTTTTCCAGTTGAAGCCAGTTTTAGACAACTTAGAGAAAAAGGCACTTACCATCACTATCCAACAAAAAGCCAAGCTTTAATGTGCAACATGCAATGTTGCTTACATGTTGACCTTAACATTCAGAAAGTCGGAATATTATCTGATTTGTTTAAACTTGTGTATAAAACTATCAATTAGAGCTTTACTTCATTATAAGTTAATGAAGCTAAAATATTATTCTGTGCCTGAATTTTTAACGTGAATAAATAACTTTTAAAACAGGAATAACAGAAATTATACCTGACTGCCATTCTTCATTAAGAGCACTTTCACTGCTGGGGTTATTTTCATCTCCTTCATCCAGCTCAGTACCATTTGTTATGCATTCCATGGCATTAGCCTTTAAAGTAGACTCCTCTTCTTCACTCATTTCCTCACTAGGCTGCTCCCTAAGCAACTGTTCCATTGAATCCCGGAGCTCCTGCAAATCTGTATCTGTCTCTCCAAACATACTAAAGGAATGTAATATAAAGTTCATATAATTAATACTTTGCAAGACAAACCCTGTAGAAAGAGCTCATTTCTTTTGTTAAGCAGCAAATTGAAAAGCCAGTCTAGCCGGAGGGGAAAATAAAAAAGAGACATCCTCCACCCTCCATCCCTCTCCCACAGCTATTTGTGACCTCAGTCCAACATGACTACAGCATTGATATCATTGTATCATGCAACATATACAGGGAATAAACAGATGTGCCACAGTCTCATAAAAAGATAGTAAGTCCTCAATTCAACTTTATTAGTAAGGTAATTTCAAAATCCTTGTATTTGTGCAATATTATAGAACCCTGGCAAATACAACATTTTCAATCCAGATAAAAATGTGTCTGGAGCCAAAAGAAATCTAGATGTAATCAGAATAGATACACCAGACTGTCCAAGATGTGGGGAATAGTCAATTCCAGGGTCAGATTTTGAAGCCTCTAAAAGAATTTGAGAGACTTGAAGAACATTGTAATACAACACTAGAGGAGATAAATGAGCAAGATTCCCAGAACACAGGAAAAAAGGAAATATTCAAGACATTTTAATTTCTAGAAAAGCAATAGCAATCAACTTTGAGTTGCTTGAGCAAAATGCAAGTTGCAGACACCAGACAGAATGGCACCTTGGATAGATATTGGGAAGGAAACTCAGACACCTATTGTATGCAGTATACCCCATTAGCTTCTCAAATCTCTTTAACAAGACTGAAAGTAAATGGTGATTCAATACAAAATTTTTAAAATCTGGGTAAAAATTCCATGCTGGCAGTATGTATAACAGTTAGTGTCTAACCAAAAACATTCTTGATCTAAGATGCCTGCTGAAATACTTGATAAACTTAATACACTCACATATCCTCAGAGTCAGAGGGTCCTTCTTTGGCTTGCTCATCTTCCGTATCTTCAATTTCAAGATTATGTTGATGCTGCACATCCGCTACACTGGGAACATCAACTAAAGTTCTGTACAGTTTGTAAAGATCTGGGAGTGAACATGTTCTCAACATCTACAAAGGCAATAGAAAGCCTGCTTGGTAACAATATTAAAGACAGTCTGAGTTTACAAAATACTTTAAAATGGGATTTCACTGTTCTTCAGGCTTCCTGCTTCACAGCCAGAAGTTGCGCTAGTAGATTAAATCCTACAGGGAAAAAATCACTTAGTTGGCAGAAATTAAAAGATTGCTGCCCTGTTTAGTGACTGCTTATGATGGCAAGGTAGTGATAATTCTTAAAAACTGCACAAAAGGGAGAAAGCAGAGAGGGCAAGTTAGGAATGTCTTCATGAACTCCCTCAGCAATGTCTCAGAGAAAGGGTGGAATTCCTCCACAAACACCTGGAACATAGAAGGCCGAATGGTGAATCCAGAGACTTTCACTGCTGCATGAGACTTGCTGATACCATGAGCACAGTGCAGTTGAACTACAGAGCAGACATGGCTAGACAAATACAAACACCTGCTGAAAGAGTTGTGCCATGTGTTCCGGGCCTCATTCAACTTCAATAAGAAAGTAAGAATAATACTATAGAACAAAAAAGTATTTACTTTTAGTTTTTTAAACTTGCCTTTGGGTCATTTGCATCAAAAAGTCCTGTAGAAAGTCCAATCAACAATGAACTTTTGCCTTTATTTCTTGCTGGTGATATGGAGCGTGAACGAGGTACAAAAGACTCTTCCTGTGAAGACTGAGATGACAGAACTGGTGAGGCTGTTGGTACAGCTGTGGGCTGTATTACCCTCTGGAATAAGGGTTCAGCTGGCTGAGAGTCACTGGAACAAGTTTCTGATGTGGTAAAAGAAAGTCTGTTACAAACCTAACTAGATGAAAACCCCAAGATACTTAAGGAATAGGTAACTACTGGGAACATATCTAACTAATTCCTGTTACACAATTAGAGGGAAAAGTAGATAGCACTTTAAAAGTATTAAAATATTTTTGATTGTTTTAGTAAATACAATTGCAATGTGAAATTTTCCCATTTAAACTCTTGGAGAATATACAACCTTCAGCTATAGCCTGTTCTGTTCTCAGACCTTCTGTTTTCCCATTATCCAGTCCATGTCTGATACTGTGTCATCCATTTTCACCTGTTGCTTATAACCTTATACTAGATTTCTTTGAAGTTATCTCAATATAATTCTCCCAAACAGGGGGAAAAACCCATCCAGTTTGCTTAAGCCACCCTTAACTAGATGCAAGACTATCACCAATGATACTTGACAGTACTGACGATGTTTTTTCTGTAATTATTTCCCAGACCTCCAAGAACAAGCCATTCTTCCACGCAATAAAGATAAAAGATTGTCATTAGCAGCCACTTAAAATATTGAGCTGCAGCTCAGTATTAATTAGAGATGTGTATAAACAAAGCAACACTTATACTAAGTAAATAATCAGATCTCATAACATCCTAAATAGTCATTTGAAAAAGCTGTAACATTCAGAAAGTTATGCCCATCAGTATGGGCCACTGTCCTGTTCATCTATATACAGTGCAGCTTTCTTGTAACACATTCTCCTCCAAAGTGGCAAACATAATACCCACAATTTGTCTTCCTAATCCATACGAAAAAATCATAAGAAATAAGAACTAAAGAAGCAAATAAAAACTTGCACCTTTGGGGTTAATGAAGTGAGAAGGGATGGCTGAAGCACCCACACTGACAAGCCACGGAACACGAGACTTGTACTGACCTGCTGGAGTTTCCTTTGGTGGTTGTGCCTTGTTGACCACTGCTTTCTCCGAAGCTGTCTCATTCACTCCGTCATGCTGTGTCCTATTACAACACAGCACATCAAGGAGAAATACCATGTAAAAAATGGTCATTAGTCTATTGAAGGCATCAAGTGCAGTAAAACTAACACAGCAGCAAGCAATGAAGCTTTAGGGTAATTTTAATGGACACATCCAAATACAAGTCAGTTAAAGCTCAGTTGTTTGAACTGGGGAAAGAGAGGTCAGAAGAGAATACTTACGTATCCTCTTTCTCTTTTACCCACACTTCATTAACAGTGCTAGGAAACTCCTTATTCTTCTTACTCTGGTGCATAGCCTCCATTTCTTCCAGCACCTCTGCTTCCAAATCATCAGGCTCTAAAATTAATAGTAATTTACCTTATTAAAAATTAATTCCAACCAAGCAACAAGATGGGGGAGTATACATTTTAAGATTACATTTAAATCCTTCAGCTTTAATAATTTTCTGCGTTTTGCAGAAACAGCAGAAGTTTTGTAATCCCAGAGCCAAAAGTTTTGGGTTTTTTTCTGATACCAGAAGAGTATCTTAAAGCTGCAATGAACTATGTCTTCTAAAAACCTCATTAACATGCCCTCAGAAATCAAAAGGATGCTGATATCATACAGGGGAAAAGATTCCAGCACAATTGATAGGGAGAAATAAATCAAAACCCCACCAAATTAACAAGAAAAATTTTGCAGCACTTTAGAATTCTACTTGTACTCTGAAGTTTTCTAAAAGCACACAAAAAAATGTTCCTGGCAATTTACTAATCAAATTACAACACAGGCATAGAAAGCACCTGGTCCTACCTAAAACGTGTTAATAAAAAAACTGCACATTACTTATGGGAAGATATAAAAGTATACAGAATCATTACTTCATTTACTGCATTCAATAAACAGATTTTAAGTAGAATTTTTGATGAAATGAGTTACCATCCAGCATAATAGGTTCGCTCTGCACCAGGGTGGGTCGAGTTCTTTGAGATTCTTCTGGCACAGTCATGACAGACTTTGTAACACCAACTGGTACGGCAGACTGAGCTCCAACAGAAGAGAAAGACTTCTCTTCCTTCTCCTCTGATGAAGACTGATGATCTCCTTCAAGAAGTTCTGCAGTACCTACCAGAAAATTATTCTATTATCTAAACAGTACTTCACCATATTTGGATTAAAAACTACAACATGGGTAATAAGGTAAGTTGGGAATTTTTGTTTCTTTAAAGAAAAACTGAAAAAAAATTGCATGCTTTTAGTACAACTATCATAAAGAAGAATGCTAGAAATATTAATATTTGAATTTCATAGTTTCATTATCATTAGTACAAGTTTGTATTTGGAAAAAATGTAAGTCCTTTCGTCCTTAGAAAGAATGAATGGCAGGAGTTGACAAGGAAAAAACCCAAAAAACCAAAAAACATAACAAAACAAAAAAACCACGGATATGGTAAGTCACATGCTGCCAATAAGGTTACAGGAAGCATCTAATGCAATATTCAGATGATGACATCCTTTCAAAAAATAGGATTGTTTCTATTAAAAGGCAAAGTTTAAGACTTTTCAGCATAATGAAGATCCTTTCCTTTCAGCACATCCTGGATAATTTCTTACCACTTCACTGAGTTTGAAATATTTTGGTGTCCTCCAGTATCAGCTTGTGCTTATATTCAGAACTGAGGCAACACCCAGAAGTAGAAAGCAAGAGAGAATATAAGAATATGCTTCTATTACTTCAACATTTTTCTCAGTAGATTAACTGTCACTACACTTGAAGTGCAGATAATTACCCATGTCCTTACCATTTATCTCATCTTGCTCCTCAAGTATGTCAGTTTGCAACTGCAGCTCTGCTTCTCCTAGGATCCTCAGAACTGAATCAGTAGGACTTTTGCCCCAGACTTTCCTGTGGGGTTCACCAGTATCTAACTTAATTACTTCCCCCAGAGTTTGACCTGTTGGGACACAAACACAAATACAAAAACTTTTCTAAATTAGAAATTTTTATTAATTTTCTATAGAATAAACAAACAAACAACCTCCACAAAAATAAACAGGTTACAAAGCTAGAACTCATGTCACCTCACCCCAAGTCAGACAGCCTAAATACTGTGCTTATCTAGAGGTTTTTTTCTGCCAATTCCAGTCAATAACAGGAGTTATTCAATACCAGTTTACACATGCAACTTAATAGCAGCAGTAGCTCTTTTCAGAAATTCAGGTACTCCTAAAGAAAGCAGTATGAGAAATGCTTAACACCAGCATGGAATGGTCTTTACTTTGAAAAGGTAAACTAGAAAGTTTCTTGTCTTGCTATCCTTTTACATTTATTTCTGTTAATTCTCCCTCCAAGGAAAATAGGATATAAAGCAAAAAAAAAAAAACAGAGTACAAGAAGTTTCTTCATCTTCTAACATTCCAGCAGTATAGAACTACTATGCAAAGATACAAGTCTGTCACATTCTCCATGATTATTTCTTCCTACAATGTGAAACAAACTTTTAGTAAGATATACTGAAGCCAGGAAAAAGGGGTTCCAACCAAAAGACCAGAGAAGGCAAGCAGAAAATCGAATGACAGTCTTGATTTAAGAAAGGCTCAACAGAAGTAACAGATATAAATCGAGAAAAACCCTCAGTTATTTTTTTTCCTACTGATAACACAACATAACAGGATTTTCAAGTTAAATAAGATACTTTCATACATTTAAAAAGCTTTTTATTCTTTCTGTTAAATTAGTGCCTATTTAAAATACACAAAGAAAGTAACATGCATTTAATTAGGTAACTTTTTGCTGTTGAAATTAGGAAATTATTTTTTTAATCTCCTGCAGGCCATTTAACTACTCAGCCTGTGCCTTATTCCTAGTTTAAAGGAATATATAACCACCTGCTTTTTAGATGTGGATGGCATGTAACTGACAACAAGATTTTAATAATAAACAATACTTGCTTTATAAAAACACACACTACACATGGCAAACTGATTTACTAATACCACAGTGACAAAGAAAAAGTACTTACACTCTGTTCCAGAGAGAGAATCTTCCATCGACAACTGAGCGAGAGGAACGACCAACTCGGATGCCCCAGGTTCCCATTTTTTGCGATCTCCCAGAAGTGGCTGGTCACCTTGTTGTTCCTTACCATGTTCAGCTCCAGCTGATTCAGAGGTATTTTTACCCTCCTTTTTTCCTTTCTCATCTTCTTGAGCTTTAAGATTTTGATTTAATCTTCGTAGAATTTCTCGCTTATTCTGAAAGAAGGAACATATGTATTAAAATAGTGCCTTTCTTAAAAAGATACCTAAATGAAACTGTATATAATTTGACATACTTGTATTGCAATATCTGGCTTTTTTATTTCCTCCTCAGATTCCTGGACAGCAGTTATTGCATGTTCATCCTTTAAGTCCAAGAAGCATGAAATAGAAAGTAGAAGAACATGTCAGAAAAAAGTTATCTTGAGAATAGTAATAGACATAATAAAACCTTTCCAATGACAACTGCAAGTAGACTGAAACAGAATGCTTGATTATTCTGTTTCATTCTATCCCAAAGACAGAATTTCAAGGCACCTTCTATCTTTGAACGAATCTGAAAGTGATGAGCAAATGAATCACACAATTTAAAGAGATAAATGAGATTTCAGAGCACGAAACATGTAGAGATAAAGTCAGATATGACCTCTACAGCAAGATGCCACTGAATTCCTATGCTACAAATGAGTAATTCTACAAGAGAATCAAAAAAGTGGCAAGTACAGAGTCAAGGCTAGTTTATGAGGAAAAAACAGAAGGGAAAGGAGACAATTAAGTCATATGCAAGTAAGCAAACTACATATTGAAGGCAAACATGTAGAATTTATCATCTGTGTACAAGACTCGTATTCTCCATTTCCAATTGCTCTCTGTGCTATTTTACTCTCTTATAATCACTGTCTTGCATCACTGTGAGACAAGCTGTCTACATGGAAAAAATATGCTAATGATTTAAGTATTTGTCTAAACATGATTTATTTTTCCAGCTATCAGCTGACACCTTTCAGTGTATTATATTTTATATATACTCTTTAGTGTAAGTTTTGCTCTATTCCCATAGTTATAGCCTTCAGGGTTGAATATAGTATGAACTACCACACTACACTGAAATTTAGAAACAGCTTAGGTCAAAGTACAAAAACGAGCATTCAAGCTTTGGTTTCTTTTAAATTTTTTTTTGTTTTAAAAAAATCATTTTTCACAATTAGAAGCAACAAATTTCCTTAATAATTTTTTTCGACCTAACCTATACATTTTCTCTGTATCCTCCTTCCAATCAGTATCTATTTCCTTTCCATTCATTTTACCCACTCAGCAAAATACCTACCACACCCACTTCCTTCAAAGCAGAAGTCATGGAGATGACAGGTACACCAGGCTTCACTGGAAGTTGTGGCTTGGGAAGAGCTGCTCCAGGCTCTTGTAGTCCATTCATAGGACTATGTTCTGTAGCTTCCACATGAAAAGGCACATTAGGATTCTTTATCCCTTTTGCAATCAGCTGTATAGATTCAATTAAAAAAAATTTAAATCAAAAATTAACTTCAAGACTGCACATTAAACATAGTATTATCAATTAGGCTCATATAATCCTTACAGAAGGACAATAATGCCATACATTCACACAAAAGACAACTGCCCACTGTACATCAATTTGTCAGTTTCACATAACTGCTTTTTCTAGTCATAATATTATTAGTTGGATTTGTTCCATGGTACACTAAAGAAGATAAAATAAATTTAGGTCAATAACAGACCATTAATAAAATAGTTGGGGTGATCCGAATGATTCTTAGGTTTGATGTTTTGAAGTCTTCCTGCAAGCTTACTTAAGATTAGGCTTCTAATTAGGGAATTCTGACTGACACAAGATACCCTCTCCAATTTCAGAACTGCTTGTCTTGAAAAATCATAATATAGGATTTTATTTATACCAAGACATGGCCCTACATACTTCAACTGCATGAAACAGATTTATTTTCTTACATGTTCTTCCCAGGCTCTTTTCTCTCTTTCATAGGCTTCCTTTCTCTTTCTCTCCAACTGTTCCTTCAGAACTGCAGCACGAGCATTTGCTTGGGCCTACAGTAAACAAGCAAAAAAGAGACCAACTTAAAATAATCAGCAGCCTATTTCATGGAACGTTTTAAAAAGGAATATTCTTGGATTACTCAAGTCCCTTTCTCTCACTACGGTATAGACTATAAAAGGATCACTTCACTAGCAAAATCACCATACAAGTATAATAATTAATCATCTATGTTGGAATAATGGCAACTCCTCAAAATTTAATTGCAGTTCTTGATTTGCATGGTTGTATTTTTAGTGCATATAGTAATCTTAAACAGAGTAATGTAAAATTAAAAACTACACTTAAAATTAGCTTTGAAGACAAATGCATTAATAAAAAAATTAAATATTCAGTTTAAATGTTCCCAACTTAAACACAAAAAGCTACATTTGCTGTTTCACCTCTAGTTTTCAGGTTAGGCATAAGGTTAGCTTGCTTCTACACTATACTTTGCAGGTGGTGGAGGAAAAATCATAGAACAGACAAGAGCAATACTTGCTATGTATAGTATTGTGAAATAGTTACTGATATAAACCATCAGATGGAATAAAGCTCTAATAAAATACTGGATTTCTGTGAAATGCATCTGTTTTAAATGTAATTCATCACAGGGTTATATAACTCACATTCCCATCCACACATAGCCCATGTCAGCCCATTTAAGAAGTTTTGCCTTCCTTTATTCTTTAACTAAAATAAAGCTGTTGTCTAAGGTACATCTTCCTTACCCTTTCAGTCTCAAAATGCTGTTTTAGTTATACCAAATTGCCATTAGGACTAAAGCCACCCTACAGATAAATTTCAAAGACCAGGATAGGGAAAATTTTTGACTTGCAAGGATAGACACCATCTCAGCATGTTTTAAAATTATCAAGATAAAGCAGCTGAACAGAGTTGTTTGCTCAATACAGTTAAACCCTCCCCTTCCCTGTAGTGGATACATGAACAAACTATTGATAGCAAAATGAAATTTAAGAAAATTCATGAGATATAAAACATATTTGACAAAGTAACTTCCATTTCCTCCCACTCCACACTCACCTTCTGTGTTTCTATCTTCTTGCGTTTCAGTTCTGCGTCCTCACTAGAGTCCTGTCCATCAGAACTGACAGCTTCACTCTGCAAAGTAAAAGTCTTCATGGAATTATCATCAGTTCATGTATTTAAAAGCTGAGTGATACGAGTGTCTACTCAGAATATTTTAATTGACTGTATGACTAACATGGGTCAGTTTCACTAACTCCTTGCTTAAATGCAATGTCTATTTGAACAGAGCTTCATCTCTGAGATTAGTGGGGGTTTTGTTTATTTGTTTGGTTTTTCAGGGTGGATTTGTTTTAAAAGAGGTGAAGCTTTAATAAGTCAGGAAAAAAGTAATGTGCCTCTTGTTGCAAGGAAAGTAGCCTACAATGCTGGGCTCTCACCTGCCACCCCTCATCACTGCTGCATGTTCTGCAGGTGAGGTACACAAGAAAGGTTTGATGCTCTAGAATTCCATTTTTTTTCACAATATGTGCTCTCTAAAATATATGTCTCTATATAAAACTGCCTAGAACAAAAGTCTTCCACCCAGTGTGTTTTGGTTTAATTTTATTTTTTTGCTAATGCACTAAATAATGTTATAGTTTTGATTTGTTAATTTAAATGTATTTATTTTTCTGTGAGACAGAACTAGGAGTAAGAGTAAGGCAGGCTTAAAACTTAAAAGGATATAAAAAGAAATTTATTAACTACACAAAGAAAGAAAGAAACAAATTCAGAATAAGATTTTCAAACTATCTTTTATTTCTAAACTTCATAACAACAAAACAAACATAAAAAAACTACTTCAGTCAGTTTCTAACTTAAATAGTCTTTTTCAGTTTACTCTAGAGAGAGAAGCTTTTCTTGTTAGGCTATAGGGACTTTTTTACAAGGAGAGAAAAAACTAGTTTTCTTGTGGTTTTACTTTTCACGATTTGCATTGTCTGGGAAAAAGACTTACAAATCATGAGGTTCTTCTTATCTCCACAGCTTTTTTAAAGCTGTGCTTATGGGCCATGTTAAACTCATAGGATATTTACTTTTAAGAATTAACTGTTTTAAACCAAAAATTCTTTTCATTACTCTTTTCTCTGTTTATGCTTCATTTCTAGAAACAGAGATCTCCTTTTCTCCTTGGTTCCTCAGGCTGTCAATAACCAAACCAGCCTTCAATTGGTCCCATCAACTCACAGAGGAAGTTCTCATAGAGAAAAACCTCTCTGAGTCTGTTCTCCCCAGGTAAAACCAGTACACATGGGTACAAGAACACACCCCACAATCAACTTCCATAAGTATTTAAAAATATAATTTAAAAATATAATTATAATTATATAAAATAAATTATATATTATATATAAATAAAATTATAAAATAAATAAAATTATAATTTAAAAACCAACCTTATCTCCACGAAGTTTTGCTCTAATCTGTTGACGTTCATTAAAGTTTTGTAGCCGGATCTGTCTCAATCTTGCCAAATATTCCTAACACAAAGAAATGAAACAAGTTTCAGCTCTATGGAAACTCTCTTCAGTACGGTTAACTTACAATATATCAGATTCCACAAAAAAAAATAAAATGGGTGAACCATCCCCCAACATTATTGTTATCACTTCAATAGCATTTACCAACCTCTGGAAAAATTCTCATGTAATGAAAATAAAGAAAATTAGAATGTATGTTTCTCAGTATTAATTATAACTACATCTTACATTACTGAAAGCTAGGAAAGGTTGCATTTATCACAGCAGGATTAGGATATAGTGATACCTATGTGTATTAAATTCAAGAACGTCTCTGAGACAGATTGATGTAAGCAACTATTACTTTGATTATTTAAAAAAACAAAACAATTAAAGACACCCAAACTTAACATTAACAGTAAACTATTTCCTCAAAATTTAGAAATCCTTTGATTTTGTTACACAGATGGAACCATGCAGGGAAACTGGGCACAGTCAAAGTCTAAATATTTTTATTTATTAATATTTTGCTATTTTTGTGATGAGCAAAGTGGCAAACATGCAGCAAGCATACCTCTTCCTCCTTGTTTCTCGATTTCCTTCCTCTTGCAGAAATGGACCTGCCTCCATAGGTATCTGCCACGTTTTGCAGTGTACCCTGTTTGCCATTTAATGGTATCAAATTTAAGGTGGCTGGGGCAGTAAAATTATCTGCTTTATCCAATAACTGTTCACTTATAAGAAACTAAATCCATCAAAGATCTGCAGATGTTCTGAAGTTAACCAATAATCCTTTTTCACTTACATGAAACATATGACAGCAGTAATTAAAACTTCTGAGTAGCCAAAGAGAGAGATAAGAACTCTAAGAATATGGTTGCCTTCTCCTTTCAATTCTGATTTTCTCATGCTGTGTTAGAAAACCTAAGTTGTGATGGGTATGAATTTTCTACATCTAGATTATATAAAAAATGGTGGTACGGGGTTGGTATTTCTGCCATTGCTGAGTCAAGCCTAAAAAGTGGAAAGTGGAATCTTTTTATGTTCTTAGACTAAGGTTTTTTAACAATGATGACTCAAAAATCTAATAAAGCACTTAAATATACTCATTACATCTAACAAGCTGTGCTAAATATATAATACACATGCAGTATATAGACTCTGTTCATGTGACATACTCTGCAATTTGTGCCCAATAGGATTTCAACCTTTAAGAGAGTTCTGTACAAAACAGTACAAGAATCTTTTAACTTCATGTTTTCTGGTTAGATTAAAATAAAGAATACTTAAATTATTTTACTAATGATATACCACAATTTTTTTTTAACAGGTTAAAAATTCCTTGATTTGTTAGTGCAACATACAGTAAAGACAGAAAGCACACATGCATGTGATAGGCCTTCTGCCTTATAAAATGCCAGAATATTTGGCTTTCTCAAGCTTGTGTGTAGAGAACCATCAGTAAGTAAATACTTCAGTGAGGTTATTGACTGAATCCAAATATTCTTGTTAAATAATCTCTCAGACTGAGAAAAAGTAGTAGCTCAAGGAAATAGCACATCACTTCTGTGGTTTAGTGACCACAGGATCAGAGAACAAATGAAAGGACCCATTTTGTGGAAGAGTAGTTCCTATACATTCATAAGGGCTCTATGAATGCTGGTTTCAGCTTAAGCATTAAGCCATACAAAATAGAAAAGAATATTTTCCATATTCATCTTTCCAGAAAATATTTAGTTTTATTTTTAACTTTTTAATACATGTTCTCGAGGTTTACAAAAGCTTAATAGCACTACTGAAGGAATTTCATTGTTCTTTGTTCTAGCATTGAAGTTATTTTAGGTATTTCCATCACTGATGGCAATTTATATAACTGCTCTTAAGAAACTGGAAGCAAGATTTTTGAGATCTGATTTTCTTTTTTGTAGATTGTTAATTTTACTCACCCGTCTACATTGAATTTTCAAAGACCAGGACTCATGTTTTGCAATGCCATGCAGCTACAGTGAAGTAGCAAATTAGGTCAGCAGCTGTCTTAAAAAACAGATGTCTGAAAGTACCATCTACTCAACTACTGAGTCAAATTTACACTGTCAGTGGAAAATTAAAATTGACAGCAATAGAAGCTGAGTAAAACAGTGCCAGCCATCAGATAAAAGACTAGCTACTAACATGATTTCTCCTTTCAGATCAACGTTGTCCAAGCAACAGTCCCATCCCTATATGACAACTGCCAGCTAGTCAAATTATTGTCCTGCACAAATAGAAGGAAGCTGTTGATAACTTCTGCTTTCAATGGCAAAACCAGGAATGGATTTGGTACTCTGGCTTCAAGTTATAAGTCTTAATCATCTGGAAGTTACTTTTAAATTGTTCAATAACCTCCCTGTTTTATTGTGGGAACCATCTAAGATTAAAACATTTAGGTTCACAGAACACATTAGAGAAAACTGAGAAACATTAACTCTAATAGTTGGGTATAAATCTCATAAATTTATATCAATGCCAACAAAGTCAAGAACAAAACAGAAGCAGGTACTACTAACAACTTGTTCAAGGAGAGGTAGTCTTCACAAGAATTGCTAATTTTTTCAAAATTATTTAATGGTCTTGAAGGTTTTAAAAAGTAAAACCATAGTTTTAGAGAAGAAGACTCATATTTTAAAACATGTACACTAATCTAAGGATACTTCACTATCAAAGTACCTAAGGATTATTTACTGTAAGTGAAATAATCACTGACATTAAGACCTGGTTTTAAATCATAATCTGATTATCAGGTATAACTCTGGAGATGCTTCTATAAACCTGCAGTTGGTCTCATCTCACTGCTGCTCCAGCACAGTCAGCTCAATCCCAGCAGTTGACAAAGACATTGTCACTCAATTGCATATGAATAGTGCAGAGAAGCACTCAAAAAGTAAAACCCTCCATGTTATTGAAACATAGTCATTTCCAATATATGTTTTAAACAGATTTTCTAAATGAATACTGAATTTACAACCATAAGCATAAAGAACATTTTATGACACTATCATCTACCTAATTTCTAAAGAGTAAAGGTTTTATAAAAGTCAACATTGATAGATATGGATGATTTTATAATACTTTTTCAATAAGCAGAATGTGTTTTCCTAGCATGCACTACTATGTCTGATCATTAGCTGTATCAGTTTAATCAAACTTAATTTTTGGTTCAAGCTACTGTGTAACACAAAGTTTAATTTTAACCAGGACTCCAAAGTTTAAACAGAAAAAAAATGTAAATGAATCTTCTAAAATTCACAATAGCAAGTTAGACACGTGCAAACAAAGATACGTTTTCTGCATTTTGTTGCTAATTTTAATAAAACATCACATAATTGTGCAGTATATTTCTCATTACTTTAAACTTATTAACAAAGGAAATTATCTCCCATTCTCTCTCTTTTTCTCAACACTTAAAGAAAATATTTAGTCAGCATTTCACCTACGATGCTACTTCAAAGACTCACAAAACATGCTGAAACAGTAATACACACAGGAAGATCAGATTTCTTACCATGTGTCCCTGAGCTCGAGCTTTGTTTTCCATGGCTTCTCTCTTCCGTTGCCAGAATTCTTCAACTTGCTTTGCTCTATCTGCAGCTATCCATCCTTTTTGCCTGAATAATTTCAACACAGCTAGATGAAAGTCTCTGAAATATGACACTATAAACACCACCACCCCCACTGTCCTCCCCCCCCGCATTTATTCTAACTAGAACACAGGGAAAAAAGTAACTTTATATGAGTAAGGCATCTCGAAAAAATGCCTTTCATCATCCAAAATACAAGTCACACTTCCACAAAATGGAGGAAAATAGGTTTAGTTAAAGTGAGAATTATTAAAAAAATAAATCTAAAACACTGTATTGTTGTCCTTCCAGATCCTTGTCATCAAAACAAAAATTAATGTCCAAACACAATCTTGGTATGATTGTTTCTGAAGTTTCTCAGCTTGTTTCATTATTGTTATAATTTCTGAAAAAGAAGACTCCTTCAAGATTTCCCTTCAGAGATGAGCAAGAACTCATCACACAAGCCAATTAGTAAGGTCAATACTGTGACAGCCTTTCAAGACTGTCCTACATTTGCAGTAAGAGCTTCTGCTACTTAGGGAATTACTACAGTGCTACCATTCTCAGAGTGTTCTGGCAATTCCTTTTAGGGAACCTAAAAGGGAGAATTTATTTTTTGTTTGCTTTCAAAGGGTCTGTGAAGGAATTTTCCAACCCTAGAATTAGCCATAACAAGATGATTATTTTTTGATAAGTTTCACCCCAGGTCAGGGACCTGATTGGGAAGACAAGAAGGCTACATTTAGGTTACCATAATTGAGCATCCTGCAACTCTACGAGTACATTCATCCGATTATAGAGGAACCAAATTCTGACAAATTCATTAGTAGAGAAGTTTTGTACTAAAATAAAACCAAAACACTGAGAAATGCTGCAAGATATTCTACAAATGGTAGAATGATGAGGTCTTTCCAAGGTTCCTTGAGCCACCTTTAACTGAGGACCACTAGGGGTTTGGCAACAGTCAGGAAGAAACAGGAATATGCTGATAGTAACAATCCATAGGCTGAGGCAGTTAAAGAAAGAATCATTTTCCAATACAGGAAGCTCTAGTAATTCACAATTAATTAGCACACTAATGAAAATACTTGTATTTTATTATTTTTTCCCTTCACCCCCAATCAAAAAGGAATTTTTTTTTTCCCACATGCTACAACTCATTTAAAACAACCATTTTGATAAAACCACTTTGATACAATAAAAGAAACACTGCTCTGAAAAGGTAAACGACAAACCACACAGGTGTTACTGGTAAAGAAACAAACACTTGCCAATCTTTGTGTACACATATCCAATTCACTATAAGATTTTTACTCTACCTTTTAAATACATCTGAACTCAATTGGTGGATAGTGAAATCTGGGCAGAGCCCTATCATGCAGCTGAAGTTTGTCACACATCATGAACCCTACAGTGTTGGAGGAGACGTCTTTCCAAAAAAACCCAAACCAGTACAGTCCTATTTGTCTCAAATCAAATTCACAGGAACATCTTATCTCAACATTTTATGAAAATGCTTTTTCTTACTCTAGAGGTGAGTGACTCATTTTGCTAAAACATTTCAACTAGATGCCTCCTGGGCTGCACTTCTGCCGGAGACAAATTTTCAAGGTTGTTGACACTGAATATATTTGGCTTTACAATAGTGGTCGTACAACTAGAAAGACTTCAACTTAAAGATTTCTCAGCTTCTTCAAAATATGCTGTAAATTGACTATCTTTAACAAAGTTCTTGTTATTTAAATTCTTTCTTTGAATGAAACATCATGAACACTTGCCTTCAGCTGAAAGAATTAATTACAGGACGGAAATACAACTATAATAAAATTGCTTCTAGGTAAAATACAAATTCTTAACACATTTAAGATGCTAAGAAACAGAACCTCAGTTTAAGGCTAATAGTAATCCAGTTTATAAACAGAACCCCCCCCCCCCCCCAGTCTCTACCTATTTTGAAAGTTCTGGACATTGAGTGCTTCTGAATTCACGTATTTGAGAAATGCTAAATTGGTTTCTCTTCCCAGTGTCTATGTTATTTATAAATTGCAGCACTCTGCTATAGTTTCTCTCAATTTTATTTCATTTAAAACAGTTATCCAGGTGTAGACAAATATAATCGAATATTTTCAAAGTTGTGAGTCAAACTGTTTCTTAATCTTGGCAAGAGTTGGGGGTTGTGTGCTTTGTGTAAAGCACTGAGAATAAACAAAGAAGGGCTGCACCAGGAAGAATTTTAATTCTCTCACAACAGTCCAATCTACTACAGAGAATATAAAATATACCTCGGAGCTTTCAGAATTGTAATATCAGTGATAAGCATGATGTTATTGCTGCAAAAACAGTAAAAAAATCTATAATTGCAAGTACATTTTATATTAGAACATAAAATCAAATTAATTTCGTTTACAAGAATAAATGGTTTCTTTGGCCACCGCCTTTTTCTCACATAACTCCATTTACTTCTTCCTTCATGGAACAGATCATTGGCTCTGCAGAAGTTTAAATAATGAAGGAGAACATTTGTGCCTCTAGGAAAGTCAGTTAGTAACGTTCACAGTACTAAACTTCCAGGAAAATGGTATTTTCCCATTTACTAGTCACAACTGCAAACACAGTTCTTTGGGCAATGTTATGAGATCCAAAGGAGAGCAAAGAAGTTTTGAACAAGTTTTTTGAATGACTGAAAACATTAAAAAGAAAATCAGTACCTGCTTGCAATCCTTTTATAGATAAAAATACTCTATTTACTGTAATTAGACTTAGATCTTCTAATTCACTATTTGAATACCAAATTAGAAATTGCACACTGTTACTAACACCGGACATTCACATCTCAATGAAGAAACCTCCTAGAAGTTTTCCACTGATCAATAAACAGGAGCCAACAATTCTGGGATCATTCTAGACACTTTGCAATACTACAAACGCTTGGGTGCAGAGAAGGCAGGAAGAGTAAGATGATGGGAGAAGGAAGCATCTTGTCAGGTAACACAAAAAGTGGAACGATGAACAAATCAAAGGAGGACGCTTACGTTGTTACCTGCAACCACATTAAGCCAACAATTTTGTCTGAAATCTACTTTAGGTACATTTGCTTAGTAAACTATTCCATTACTGGGAAAGCCAAGATCTCCATTGGCTCTAAAAGAATTGTGGTCTGTGAGGGACTAACACACAAACAGACAGCACAGTACCAATGAATAGGAGTCATTTTGAGACATGCTCAATTACTAAATGAAACCAGACACAGAACAAGAATCTAACATGTAGGGACAGATTCACAGATTATCATAGTCCAACCTGTTTGCATTGGCTTGTTTAGACACCTCCTTCAATCTTTTCACTTTTTTCCTAACTGCACCAACATCGGGTAAATGGTGATGACCTGCAGGTCCCTTAGGAACTCCTGGACGTGTTCCAGGTGGAATTCCTCTGTAGATAAATATGTACAGTAACTTTCATTACTTTCATCTAAAGCAGACCACGTGCAGCTTCTAATGGAAGGCAGCCATACCTTTCAACAACTCCTCGGTCTTGTAGTTTCACCCTCAATTTGGCTTCCCTCTCTTCAGCTACTCTGAAGACATTTTCCTTCTGCTGTTGCATCTGGTCAAAAATAGCATGATAGTGTTCATAGCGTCCTCTGGAAGACACAGGAAAAGGACCAACACCACCTCCACCGACATAATATGGTGCCTGGAAACCAAAGGTGTAGTGTGGAAATCTCAAATACCGGTATTAATAGGCTCTTCCAATTTTTACCTCTTCAACAGAGCTAATAATATTAACATATTCTGCAACAATTCTAAATCGGTCCTAGTTTTATCCCAGCATGCCCCGATATTAATGAATTATAAGATAGATTTTTTTTTTTTTTTTTTTTTTGGTTAGCAGTCCAGAATAAAACAGGATTTTAGCCTCCTTTAAAAATAGTCCAGTTATACATGAGCCATCTGCCACACATTTTGGAAGTAGTTTGAAAACTACTCCATTGAAGCGTAAACAGAGATGGATAATATCACATGACAAAAATCAAAGTTTCAGCTAAAAAAGTGATATAATTCCAACTGAAGTAGTAACAAGTGACTTATAGCCAAACACACATTTTTTTATGAAGCTGGAAACAGTTGAGCACTGTTCTTAGTTTGCTGAATGGCACTAATTGCAAATTTATGTGAGAAGCCCCATTGCCACCAACCTATAAGTTGATTTCCATCACTAGACTTGAGATGCTTCTTTGGTAGAGAAGCTCAGATCAGGAGAACACCTACCACAAGGTACTGCTTTATGCAAATTATCCCTGTAATTCTCAAAGCATTAGAATTCCTGCAGAATTTTCAAGTGAAAATAATGAAAAAAAATAATGTTTCAAGCAGCTGTGTACAGTAATAGCCAAGGATGGATGCAGAAAATGTAAAACTGGCAAAACAAGGTTAAGGTTGTCAGCACATGCATAAAAATATTTTCTTTATGCCTGGGGGAAGCAGTCAAATAGTCCATGGTAGTAAAACTAAGGAATTTGTTTTAACAACAGTGTCAATCTTCCAGAGTGGTCTGAAGTATTTAATATAAATTCAAACAGGTGACTACAGATGTGACAGGTTTAAGACTACCTGCTTAGAAGTTCTTGAAGAGATTATATTTGACAATGGAATTTATCTCACATTCTGAGTTTCAGTTGTTCAGTGCCCATCAATGGCTCCCCATAATCCAGATGAGAGTACTAAAGCAAGGATTTATCTAGGCATTCAAACAAATATGCAGGTAGACTAAATAGGTCTGAATAAAAATAACCATACAAGACTATAGTTTCTACAAATAGAAGGAAAAGTCTTACTTTAGACACTATTTAAAGTTTCACCTATCATTATTAGAGTTCAGTTTCCAAAATCTAAAGAAATTCTAGAGAATGATCATCATTCTCTAGGCAAATGATATGAAGCAGGTGCTAATCAACAGACTGGAGAACAGCTACAGCTCTTGCTAGAACCACAAACCCAAAGCCAAACACCTGCTATTTTTTCTGTACTTTTCCTGAGAGACAGGTGCCAGAAACCAACCCGAAAAGAAAACAGGAGGACAGAATCACGCAGTGCATGACTCTGTTGTGCCTTTGTAAGAGGCTGTATGGCTTGTGCTATTGGAAAGCTTGAATAATGCTATTCAACTGTTAGGGAGTTGCTGGATACACTGCTTTCATACTGGAGAAAGGAAAAAGATAATTAAGTCAAGAGTACTATAATAGTATATGGAAACCTGAAATTATGGTAAACTAGAAGCCTGAAGTATGATTTGTACTCAGCTATCCAATTTGAAGAATACATCTCAATGATTTTTCCACCTACCATGATGTTTTACACCACTGACACTTGGTGAAAACAGACACACTCACTGGCCTCAGTTTCCCTAGGTAACTGAGAATACAGATAACAGTGCAGCTGGAGCAACAATGGAACAGTTCATATGTTCTCAGTAAAACTCTCTGAGTTAATCAGAAACACTGTGCTGAGGAACATATGCAACTCTCATCCAAATGTGAGGATGCACACATATCATGTTGTATGGGAGCTTGTATTAGTGCCTGGCAGTTTGATCTTGAAGGAGAGGAGGACAACATAGGAGGCAAATTACATTTCTTGGTTAGGCTTTTTTTTTTTTTTTCATTAAATCGGCATTTTGTAGTTTTTACAGTCTGGTATGCTTAAGTTTGCATTTATATTTAAGCTTTACTTATATGCTGTGAGGCACACATCCAAAGATGATATCTATTTTGAAATGAAATATTTAATAAGCTACTGAAACCTGATCAGTGTTTGTGTATTCCTCATTTTTTTACAAGGAATAGCAATAAAACCTTTATCCATTTTGACTTTATTGCTCAAAGTTTGCTTACAGAAGTCCTACTAAACATGTTTATGCCCAGTATTAAGATTTTCGTGTCACTCTTTTCATGTCACTACCACCACAACAAATCCCTGTGTTTCAATCCACTTTCTGTTGTCAGATAGATTTACACCATAGCACTGCTTAAATACCTGCACTGACTCCATCTGATGAAAGTATCCAGACGTTTATATTCAACTAAATTGATGAGACTACTCTCCAGGACAGTTATGTTTATGACATGCACAATTAGGGAAAAATAAACTGTCATAGAAATCAGATTAAATTATGCACAAAGTGAATGGCTAAACAGCACACTGCATTAAAAAAAAAATAGATTTACTCAGAATTTTTTACTCCCCTCCTGAACATCTTACCAACATATAGAAACATGTATGTTGCTAAATAACAAGGAATGCTTAGAAGCAAGTGTTTAATACTGGGAAAGAGGTCCATTACTATAACATGAAAACCTGGGAACAAAAAAATTCAAGAATAAACTTGGATGTGAAAGAAGCTGTTCATGCATACACTCAACACAGGAAAAGTAGCAAAAGCAGGTGTGGAAATAAGAAAGTGGTGCGTGAAAATTATTACTGGCAGAAAGAGAAGAGATTCAGAAATTTAGGAAACATTGAAAATGAAAATTGCACATAATCTCCAAAAGGTCAGGAAGGAGCTGTTACAGCCTATCTCAAATTATCCACAGATTAATAACGGATAGCCTCAAGAGTTGACCTCCAAGAGCAGATCTTTCTGAAAAGAGAAGACCATTTCATATAATCAAAGGTGGGGGGAATAGACTGCACCACATTTCTGCATCTGCTGCCAACCTTAACACCACTTCCACCTGAACCAAGCACATTCCTCCATCCTTGTTCCCTGGCTCTGTTTATTCGTTCCATCTGAAGGAGAAAACAATACAGGAAAACAAAATTCAAGAAACCACTAAGTAAAAATTTAACTTCACACTTAACACATTTTAAACGTATTTTACCCTTTCTTTTTCCAATCTTCTCATTTCATCTGTCTTTGGTAAACTGATCTGCAACGTATAAGGATTAAACATGTTAAGGAACTGGGAAATCAAACTACTGCATATTCTTACACATCACATCACAAGGTATTTCATTAAAATTAATATGGGGGAATAAAGGAAAATCCGAAGATTCTTGTCTACCTGCTCTCTCTGGCGTTTTTCAGGCAATTCTAACCTTTTCTTTTTTGAAGGTTCCTGAAAAATAAGCATATAATTTGGTATTTATTACTGAGCCATTACTCTGTCAAGTTTCTATCAAGTTGGGTTATTGATCCAATTGCTGGTGCATGCCCATGAAGATAAAAAAAAAAAAAATCACTGCTATATAATGTCTAGGAAAAAAGATGAGGAGGAAAGGTTTGAAGGTCGTATTTTGTCATTCTGGCTGTGGACTTGGCTTTTGCTCAGTTTGAAAACAGATGATTTCATGTTCATCCTGTACTAAAAGTTCTTCAAAAGGTGAAGAAAGTGATTTTTAAATCTGTTTTAATTTTTCTTCTCTGGAACTATCACTCTTCATTACAATCTTTTCTTTATAGTAACTCTTTGAGGTGGCCTAGATATTAAGATTCTCTTATTTGGAGAAAAGACTTGGTAGGTTATCCTAAGGCTCTTTTGCTTGGTACTTCACCTGGTTCCAACTCCAACTAAGGTTCTTGTTACCTATGACAACACAGTCACCACTGAATACCTGCTAAAGAAGTAGCTATAGTTAATAAAATGTGCTGTTTACTCCAATCTTCTAAAAAAAAGTCATCATTACTTTTAAAGTCTTTTTTTCTGACCATACCAGAACACACAGAGCTTGACAGTATTTTCTTTTGACAACATGCAATCCGGTCAAATGGGTACTTTAAAATCAAGTATCACAGAATTTAGAAACCTTTAGAGGTTTATAATAATGTTAATGTAGTATTACTAAATAAAGGAGACAATTGTTGCATGCTCCTCTGAAAAGCCAGCTAAGAGCTGCAAGCTCAGACTCAGAGAAGACAATTTATATTAAGCTGTAGCCACTGTTTCTGTCCCACTTCTTATCACTAGGTACAATTCACAAAAAGGCTGTCTTAAAATAGCAGCATCACTGACTTCTTCCATGTGGAAAGATGATATTTCCTCAGTCTCTTCCCTGCCACATTAAGTCTCAGGGCAAGTTGGATCAGTGTTGCCTGGTGAAACCCATGATAAAGAGCCATAGATGGCTTTGCAACTAAGCCTTAAAACACAAACTTCATGATTTCATAAGGACACAAAAGAAGTGCACACTCTCCCTTCTTGCTTTTTCAAACTGTTTCACCAGCCAACAAGGCTTGTGTGATCAATGAGCTTTTCTCTAAACCTCTGATAACTATTGAACTCCACAGATAATTTGTATCTCCAGGATAATTTTCTATCCACCTACAACTTTGACAGATGAATAGAGGTCTTAGTATTGCGTTCCCTGAAGTTTCATGGGAGAACGTAAAAAAAAACCAACCCAAACTCCACAACTACAACGTTACTTATTCAGAAGAAAATCTGAACTAGTTCTCTTGCTGAAGCAGCAGCCTCTTGGTTGCTAGTTGTTTGGCATGTGCATATAGCTCAAAACTAGCGGTAGCAAAAACAACTCCTGACCATGCAGTAATTAATGGAATAAAGAGAGAGAGAATAGAAGTTTTATTCAATAAGGAATACAGAGAAGACAACAGGAAGAAAGATCAGAAGTACTCTATGACAGTATACAGAAAACTTTCTCATTAGATCATGGAATTAAACCTCAAAAACTCCTCTTTCAATTACACAGTCTCTGTCTGACAACACTTTGTAAAATGGCTAGAAAAAGACAGCATATTTTGAAAATTTGAAATTATTTTAGAACAAAGAAAAAAGATGCAAAGGTTCATATCCAGTGTCAATGATCTTGGTATATGTGAAAGGCTTCCAGTATTTCTAAGAGTGGTTAACACCAACAAAGCAAACAAAAACACACAAATGTAATTCAGCCTTGGAATTAAAACCCAAGCCTAAAGTAGCAGTTTACAAAAATTATTTTAAAACCAACTAAACAAACAATCAATAATGAAGCAAGCCAAGCATTTAAACTACTAGTTCTACTTCCTCTGCAGGTGCATGAGGCATGTCCACACACCAAGACATTTCGAAAAGGAAGGAACAGTATTTAAATAAAGTAGGAAAAAAACCAGCTCAATTTAACTAACTTAACTTCTTACCTGTCTAGTTTTGGTCAATGGCTTCTTCTCATTAGACTTTTTAGGTGCACTACAAGACTTCCTGATAGTTAAAGGCACTCCATATTTTGCAGCAGGTTTGGTAATTTTCTGAGCTGGTGCAACTGAAGTCAGTGTTTGCTCTTGAACTGGTCTTTTAGCTGAAAAGAAAAAACAAAAAACCAAAAAACCCTGGTTTTGAGCTACCCAGACTGGCCAGTGTATATCCTATTTCCCTTTCCCAAAGTCTTACAACAGCAAAACTGGAGAAAAACAGGTGAACTGTGTGTCAGGGACCGAAGTCGTGTCTAAGGCCCTGCCATACTTGGTCTGCTCTTGTGCACATCGACAAGACAACGAAGAAAACTTTACTGTATAACTGGTGGGAACTTGACCCTTGAAAGAGAAACAGTGTATTGGTCCACCGGTGGGAACTTAACCTGTGAAAGAGGAACAATGCACAATGGAGCTGTTGTTAGCACGGAGGTGGGATCATAAGCCTCTGTGGCCTCATCTCATATCCTGGCCAGAAATGAGATGGCATCATAGCTGGAAAAACTGCATTCCTGAGGAGAAACCATGAGTGTGGTTCTGGGGTGGACGGGTGGCAAGGACAAGATGCACACTGTGTGGATCCAGGGGACACCCTGAAGGTGCACTGCTTGCCTGCCCCTCCTGTATGAGCACCATGCTCTCCATGTCCTTCTCCTGCCCAGTGGATTTGCAGGAGCCAGGGGTTGGTACATATTATGTGCTACTGCTAGTAATAAAACTAAATTTGCTTTGCAGTCACAGCTGGGTTTCAGGCTTTTAGTGCATGGGCATCCTCCTGAACCTGTAACAAACTGCCAACACTTCATTCACATAAGCTGATGTATTAGCTTGTTTAAGTTTGATGCCTGATAAGAAATAGAAGAAAACAACTCCCGTGCTCTTAAATCTTAGGCCTTCAAGCTGGGTAACTGACACTTGATTCAGCTGCCTTGCTTTACTGCACAGTGGTCATGCACACAGGGAAGAGGTTTCCTAATGGAATGGAGAGACAAGCCTGTATCTACTAACAACACCAGACTGAAACCTGCAATGCTAATGTCAGCAGAAGATGAGTTCTAGAAGAGCTTCAACAGCCTTTAGGTACATTGTTTTCCCCACAGTTCCTGAATATAAACCAATATTGTGGGTTTGATTCTGTGTTAGCAGGGCTCTCTTACCACAGAATAGGAGGACAGCAACATTATCTAAAGATACCAAAGTCCTTGCCAGAGCATCAAATAATTACAGGAAAATAAAATAATTAGGAAGGAAATCTAGGAAACAAAAAAGGCAAACTAATGCAGAAAAATGAAATAAGACCATCTTGACAGAATTAATCTTTGTTACCACCAGCAGAAATTTAACTGAATGACACTGAAGACAGGGCTTTATCTTGGAATCTCTAATGAAACCTCCTGCATTTTTTTTTAAGAAATCATACTTCTCATTAGCCATTTGTCATTACAAAGGGATAAAAATAAGTCATACAAGCATTGTATATGAATTAGTTCCATTATTTGCAGTCTACACTGTCTCCTTAAATTTTGGACGTGCAGCATACTGCAAGAGGAAATAATATATTAAAGGCCCATAACTTGTATTTGCATTATTTGTATCCAAGATATATCCAGCTCCCCAGGGGAGGGGAGGAAACTGCTGCTTCTCTCTTTTTTCCTGAAAATTCTACAGTCAGGTATGAGAATACACCAAAAAATACCCCTAGTAAAAGAAGAAAGCTATATACATGATCTTGACAGAGCTGAGAGCAAAAGCAGTGTAGACACTAACCTACCTGGTGAAGCATGTGGTCCAAACTTGTGGAAAATTTTGTGACTGAATTCTTCTGCAATAAGCTAAAAAAGTTGAAGAGTTAGTCAGTAGTACCTGTGACCAAAGCTAGGAAGAACTCATTTTCAGACAAGTGTGCCATTAGCACTAAGCATCTAATTAAGAGCCACTTACTGTAAATTACATTTAAATGAATACTCAACTTGATGCATTGAATCTAGTGTTATTAACACCAATATGAAGCTGCAGTATTTTCAAACATTTTTGGCATAATTTCTCAAGTAATTTTAAAAAGCAATTTAGTCTGACTTCTGGGTGGCACATGTTATCTCATTTATTAACTAGCTAAGAATCTAGAAGAAAGTTAATGTGAGCATCAACACAATTTTAATACATAATTCATTTTTGATTTCTGAGTAGCTCCCAAAATTCACCTCAATTTCTCATACAGCTTGTGTAAAAAATTAGTTCCTTAAAAAGGTTTGTAGTTTTAAAGTGTTGCTAGCCTTTTCAAGATGAGAAAATGATCACATATGTGGATATCTGAAAAAACATATATGGTGTGCTCTCAGGCATATCAAATTAGCATAATAAAATATGAAAAGCAATATTACTGGGGTTAAAAAATTGAGACTAGACAAAGATTATTCAAACATTAATAGGCTATCATCTTAAATAATGTTGGTAGTTCTGAACCAAACACCTCAAAACCTATATAGTAGAAATTAAAAATATTCAAGGAATAGCAGCAAGGATAAATGAAAATTCTTCCAATTCAGAAATAGTCTTTACACAATCTTGAACTATCCAGATTCCTTTGATTTGTACCAGTCAGTTACAATGGATGCTGAGGAGTTAAACCTGCAAAAAAAACCCAAAACAAGAACCAAAGTGCAGAACAATTTATCTGTAAAGATTTCTGAATGTTAACTTTCTTTGAGACTTCAATCTGAAGTAAGCTGAAAGTCTACTTCAACACAATAGAAATTCCAATTATATATGGCCTTTTCATGGCATTTCTTTAGTTGTGAGTTAGAATCCATTAGAATTATTTATATTGCACTTCCTCCATGTCCTTTCTCTTCTATATTTATTTACCTCATATCAGTAGTACTATTCACTTGTTAATCGTGACCTCTTTTGACCAGATTCATATTCAAAGGACATTATTAGATATCAAATGACATGAATAGACTTTAAACATAATAGGAAGCAACTTCGTTGAGGGCATATACAAGTGATACATTTAAACCTCAAGAAATTTAAAGATTATTTATTTTCCAGAACAGGTTCTCAGGCCATTCCAAATTACAAACAAAAAACGGATTGAAGAAATTCTATACAGCAACAATGTTGAAATTATTGACAGCAGCATTTTATGAAAAGATACATATTTAAACAAATAATCTGTCATGATTCCTCACGATACAGAAAAATACGGAAAGCAATGCACTTCAGAACATGTCATTTTAGATTCAGTTATGGAAACTACCAGACTTAATAATTTGACACTTTCCTTTACAATTCATGGCAAAACTATTTTTTCCTCAACTGACCCTGTCTATAAGAGCTCTAGGGAATACCATTATTCCAGTTTTCCATGTTATATATTAATACTAGAATAAAGAAAAAGGAAAGTCCTATAATGCTTTTAGCAAAGTTAGAATTAAAAGTAACTCCATACCTCTGGTGTGAGAAATTTTTCAACCCGTTTGGCTATAAAGTTTTTCTCCAATATGGAGTTTACTGATGGTCTATTCCTAGGATTCCTTTTAAACAGCTGTGACAGCAGATTACGTAGGTCATAGGAGTAATGCATAGAAACAGGAGGAAAAGGTCCAGAGATTATCTTCAGGACCAAGTTCTTCATGTTACCGGCTTCAAACTGTATCACGAGGAAGAAAACAGTTATTCTTATCACCTGTCCACATGCAGGGCTGCACATACAGATGATGAGGAAACCAAAGTAACAGTGCCCCGTCTTTGCCTCAACATACATGTTTTCAAGATCATCACCAGCAGTTCAAAATAATCTATTGCCAAGTATTCAAATTAAAATTCCAATTAAAAATACATCACAATACAAGTATTTCATACTACGGAGACATAAATGCTGTTAACAGGCAATTATTTCCCTCCAGATCTAGACTAACAATGACACATAACTAAGGAAAAAATAATTATCTGCTTGATCTCCTCTTCCAAAGGCTTTGAACCACAACGTGCCTTCTGCCTTTTTTAGCAAACCCTCCCCTTTCAAATTACAGTATGTAAAGTATTCACATTCATTCAGGGTGAAATCCAAGGGAATATTCAGACTTCGGTTTATGTTCAGGTAACAGAGGGCACCATTTCAATTCCTTTGTACAATGAAAAGAAAACAATACGCATCACCCAGCTTACAGAAAACAAATTGTTGACATCAACTCTCAGAAATTAAACACTGTCAGCAGTGTTGCCACACAAAAGACCATGCAAGATTCTTAATCCTTGAAAATATTTCCTTCAATTTCCATATTGTAATAATCTTTTCCTTTTAATCAAAATAGCTACTAAAAAAACAAAAATCCACAAAAGAATCCAAAGCAGGACAGGAAAAACCCCAAACATTTTCTTCCCTTCCTAACTGAAAAATTGATGAAAACACACTTCAAACTACACACGCACATAAATAGAAGGAAAAAAAATTGGAAAATGGGAACTCTTCAATCTTGGGAGTTTATTCTAAGCACTATTTCTATTCTAAACAGAAATACATTAATCCATTTGCAAAAAAGCAGAATCCAAATTCGGACTTCCAATGAATTCAAGCTTTTTTGGGAATAAAACCCAACCCAACCCAATCAACCAAAAACCCCAAACAACAACAACAAAGCAACAAGAACAACAAAACCCCTGAACTAGTCTAACAAAAAAACCCACAAAGGCCCCTCATTATTCCTAGTACCCTTTGTTACAACACCTAACAATTTTTTCAGCTAATACTATCCATTAAAAACAAAAGTGCCAAGATATCTGAGAGATTGGCATGAAACAAAACATCAATGAAAAATATTGATTGGCACAGGAAGCGGAGATGAAAATGCTGAAGGTAATTTTCAAACAGCTACTATGGAAGTCTTTCATCAACTAAAATATATCTGTGTAACATCAGAATTAAATTCTGTTTGAAATCGCTATTCTTTTATAGACACACAAAGTTTCTACTCACCGCATGTTTAAGTGTACACATTTCATAGAGAACACAACCAAGGGCCCAGATATCACTAAATCAAAAAGAACACATTATGTTAAAACTTAGTTCAAGATTAACATTGCCAAGAAACATATCTGTGAAGTCTATCTCTGAAGAGGAAAAGGGTGGATTTCTGAGTGTGTACAAGCTCCCCTCTATGGACTTCTTTGACCCTGAGAAACCTAAAGGAAACAAAAACCCCCAAACCAATTCATCAATCAAAATAAAGCCACCCTGAAAAACAGATGATGTTATTTTGGCTTCCGATTTAGAATCATCTCAACCACAGAAAGACAAAATATGGACAAAGGCTTCTTTTATTTAAATATATGTTTGCCTGAGGGCTTTGAATTAAACAAAATCCAAGAAAACCTCATCACCTAATTCAGCAAATACAATTCTCAAAGTCGATTTATTCTGTTTAGCAGTGACTAAATTTACCCTCTATTATTACAGGATTTGGTTAGAACACCATTGGATAATAAACTCAATGTGGAAGAAATTAAGGGGAAGGAATTGTAACCATTTTTATCTCCTAAGAAATACATTGAAATAAGGCATTCACAGAAATGAATGCAACAGCTTGGTGCAGCAGAAGGGTAATTTACTAACACACTTTGAATCACACTGGGGACACTGTTACCAGGTACGGGCTGCTGCCATGGCAGCAAAAGTTTAAGCGAGGTATCTGTAGGACTTCCTTATCTGGAGCAAGCTGAGCCACCCATCGATGCATATCATGTGCTCAGATAATACAATTGCTGCGTTTCATACTTAATAGAGCTTCACATTGGTAGTGCATAAATGAAGGCAGACCACTGTGCAGATGGGCAAAAGTAGAGCCACAATTAATAACACAACTAGATCTAGAACTTGGAGCATTAAGCTAAGTCATCTCTCCATGACACTGCTTTCTACTGAAGGCCTACTAAGGTACCACCTCTACAGTGAAGCTCAGTACCTACTTAGGTAAGAGACAAACTAACAGATGTTCACCATAATTTGATTAGAACAGCTTTAGATTCCTAAAAGAATTTAAATCTAAGAATCTCATTTTCTTCTTTTTACCAAAAATATTTAATAAAATCCTTATTAGTACCTTTTATTGTTGTAAGGCTTGTTCTGACAGATTTCAGGCGACAAATAGTATGGTGTTCCTATGCAAGTGCGTGCCAACTCTGCAGTGCTAAGACAAAAATAAGGATGGATCTTAATTGGTTAACTCACATAAAGTGCACAGATTGTGTTTTCTTTGATCAAAGCAATTTAAATTAAGTCAGAGGAAAAACAGTATCAAAAAGGAGTTACCTGTTCAGAACTCTGGCGATTCCAAAATCTCCCAGCTGTATTGTTCCATCTTTGGTTAAAAATATATTCTTGGTACAGAAATGTTAAGAAGTCTGTTAATCAAAATATTCATACAATTGCATACTTTTTGTTCTCTACATGTTTTGAGAAAAAGAAAGTTTTCCACCATTCCATCTCCCAAGTCACTGTAATTGACTACTATGGAACACCAGACTTACACAAGTCCTACTTCATTAATATGAGAAAACACTACTTCACTACCTCACATGGTCAAACATAATCTTTTCTGTCCCCACACATAAATACATGAGTAACACTTGTCGTTTCATCAAACAGCCCCATCTACTTGTACAAATATATAAATCTGCAGACTGAAGAAGTGTTTCCAGTATTAGAAATGTTTCCATAAACAAACTAGGAAGATGTGAATGCAATCACTTTGAAAGACAATTGAGTTGAAAAATAGACACCTACATACCTGTGACTTTATGTCCCGATGCAAGATTTTTCTATCATGTATGTGTTTTAGTGCTAAACAGATTTGTACAAACCAATCCAGAATCTATTAATAAAAGAAAATGCAACATCAACTTTGTCATTTATCTGAAAACTTCCCCATTTACAAAATATTATCAAATCAGACTTTAATTATAACTACGGATTTTACTTTCCTGCCCCCCGTTACCCACTTCATTAATACCACAGAATAATTAAAAACTGAATATAGATTGGATTGTTTAAAATGCCTAAGATGTGGAACTTGAACATTACAAGACTGTACTTTTGCTGTAGCCAGTATAAGTTTTCTTGCACTCAGTTAATCGACCAAGAATCCTAGAAACTCTGTGAGCATCCTATTCATGCTCACAAAAACACTTATTTTACATGTAGCAATTTTGTGTATCTTACCTTAAAAAGATAAATACTACAATGTAGATTTTGATGAGAAAAGCAACAAACATCTAACTAGAAGATTATGAACAAGCCAACAATGCCTTTTTTTGCAAAAGTCACAATTTAAGAAGTGACTAATGACAAGAACTTTGCAACGTGAATAATAGTTTTACAGTAACTACTTGGAAGTGCATACATTAAAAAATTATATAATGCAAGGCATAATTTTCACTTTTCCACTTGAAGTCCTTCTTGTAAAAGTGAGATCAAGTGAGAAAAATTTAAAGTTTTACAAATTATATCCCAAATATTTCATATACTACTAAGGCTTTCCAATCCCAAGTAAATTAACATCCTACTGGATGCAGACACAAAAGCACAGAAACAATTTATAAACAAAGAAACGTGTCAGTCCTAAAAAAAAATCCACCCTGAATCCTACATAACTTATTTTTACTTAATTTAATAAAATCTGTATTTAAAACCCTCTCATTTATTCCCAACTATGTCACTCATCTTTCACTTAGAATTACTTTATAACCAGTTTTGTAGAAAAAGAAAATGTATAGGAAGTATATCAGCAGAATATTAAATTTTTATTACTGGCAAAATTAACTTTTGAATGATGTCAACTCCACATTTCCATATTTCATATTACTATACTTACAAAATATATTATTTTATTCTTATTACACATGAAAATCCTATGCCTTTACATCTTTTCAGAGGTTTAAGGATATTCATGTTGTCTTTCAGTATTTTTCACGTCTCAGATTTGGTTTCCTTCACAAGAGATCCAACTTTTAAAAGCATCTTACACAAACAGACAAAATCTCGAGTAAGACACCCAGGACTTCCAACTATACTTTCTTCCTGGTTTTTGGGTTTTTTTTGTTTTTTTTTTGTGTAGTTGTTTTGCTTTTTTTGTTTGTGTTTTGGTTTGGTTTTGCTTTTTAATGATACTATATTGACCAATAGCAACAAGAATGACTATTTGGGAATCTCCTTTTAGATTAAGCAACCACAACTATAACCAAAATAATTTAAAATTCATGAAGAAGTATCCTGCAACAAAACATTACAGCAGCAGTTTGCTGTTACCTGATCTTCAGAGAACAGGATTCCTTTCTGGGCATTTATCTTTTTAAATAGGTCTCCTCCTTCACAGTAATCCATCACTATGTACAGACAGCCATTTTCTGTAAAGTAAAAGACAAAGTACTTCAAAAAGACAAAAACAAGACCCTTCTTTAGTTAACTTTCTAAACATCGTCACCACAGTCACAGAAAAAGCAACAAAAATTTTACTTTTTCACATGCAGCTTCAGATATAATTTATTATTCCATTTTTTCAAACTTCAAGCAAAAATATGTTTATTATTTTGAGCTTCACAACTAATTTTCCCATTTTGGTAACATTGGACTACTTTGATATGGAGAGAAAAGAATCACATCTACTGAACCAATGCCCCCACATGGCATTCAAAACCACTATGAAATTAAAGGTGTCATTTTATGAATGCAATATAAAACCAATCTTCAAATTTCTTTCAAGCATCCTATAGATCCCCCTACCCTAAAAATAGGGATCGTAAGTTGCCTCTATTTGCCTTGATCTTTCTTGGAATTTTACCTGGACTTGCCAGAACATGACAGCCATCAGCTTTGTTACTAGACATGCAGTTTATTTTAGTCAGAAGAACAGTAAGAAAACTTCCAGCAGACAATGAGAGATGGCAACAATTATTTTCTCTTTTTTGAATGAAATCTCAGGAGACTTCAAAAAATCCATGCAAGTTTCCAGTAGGAGGTATGAACAAACATAATACATTTCATTCAAAGTTATAGTTTTCCCAGTTACTGATGAAAAAACACATTAGGCAGAAGCAAATTGCAAGTTTGCCAAAAGAGTAAGAACTACACTACTCACATACTAGGCATGATTTTGAGAAGAGATGAAAAACTGCAGAAAATCAGTCACATGCTGCTCAAAAGGAAAAGAACTCCTATTTTATGAAAAAGTTAGTCATTTACAGCACTTTAAAAACTTTGAATTAAAGTAAACTGAATCATCTAAATCACTTAAATTTCACTCCCACAGAATGCGTCTGAAATCTGCCTTTCAAAACATCAAACCCTAAAAGCTGTTTCTCTGTTTGGTTATTTTATTATTATCTTTAATTAGTATTGGTTTAAAAGATGATTCTAGGAGTCCAGATTTCTTGCACATCTATTGCTGAAATAGTTTTCTCCTGTAAACTTTATATTCAATGTATTCTAAGTCAACGTGTTCTGGCAATAAAGAGAAAACACAAAGTCTTGCAAATTACAGATTACAGGATCTAACTCATAAGAAAAAAACAGTCTTAAAGAATAGGCCTCTACCACAATGAAGAAAGCAGTGTGCATTTCTAAACCAGAAGTGTGGCTGTGTAATATGATTATGTCACAAAAATCTAATTTAATGAAAAGAAAAAGTGAAAGCCCTAGGCAAAAGACATGAGAAAGTCAGCAGAAAGGAAGGAAAGAAAAAGAGACCAGAATCTCTAAACAGTACTTCAATTCATATTTAGGGGCTTTTAATAATATTTTAACTTTTACAATAGGATTTTGGAATCTTTTTTCTGTTCTGGCCATTTCCCAAGACATTCAATGTGAAGCCAATGTAGAATTATATCTCTCCTTCCTTCACTGCCTGATGAAATAAACAGTCCCATCTATTTTTCCAACTCTGAAAGCAACGATATGGTTGCAGTTACTGAAGACTGCACTCTAAAACAACAGACTTGGACATAAAACTGCTTTTGTTAGGTTATCAATATCCAAATTTAGACTCGAATTTAACCTACACAAATTTAACCTACACAAGCATTCCAGTTGCTAGGGTATATTCAAGGAGACTTATGCTCTGGAGAAACAAGAGAGTATCTTTCATTTAAGCATCAACCAAAACCCATGTATGTAAGATATAGTCATGAATATTTGCTTATTTGTTGCCCTTTTTCCTGAATTACAATTATTTTTAAATGTGGAGGGGAATTCTGAAAAAAAAATGGAAAATAACTCAAGTAAGTAATAAAGGTATGAAAAATACTGATTAAAGAGAGAAAACTCAATGACTTTTAGACTAAGTGCAGTAAGTAGTGCACAGAGTCACTCGCATTACTTCAGGTTCTACTGTATTAGTTCATCTTACCTTCAAATGACTCCCTATACAGGACAATATTTGGGTGTTTCATGTTAGCCAAAACAGCAACTTCTCTCCTTGATTCTTCTCTCTCCTTATTTGACATCTTCAAAAGGAAAATAATGATTTGTGAGAACAGAAATACAAAAAGAACAGATCAGGAATTTATTAATAATAATCACTCACCTTAGAGATGTTTATTTCTTTAATAACATACTGTTGGCCATCTTCTTTAGCTTTGACAAGTATTGCTTTCCCAAAGGATCCTTCTCCAATCTTCCGCACTTTGATATATTTATCCATAGTTCTTGTCTTAAGGCATCCTTATTTGAGTACTGGAAAAAAACCCAAACAAAACAATACAAGAAATCCATGGGCATATTTAAGTATACTTAGTGACCTAGCCTGATCAGGGCATGGTACCTTTTTTTTTAGTCAAAATCTTGATCCGTTAGTCTCTTCAGTTACTTTTCTGTAAATCACTTACTCTTAGTCTCAATTCTCTTTTGGTTGAGTTGGCTCATTTTGGGCCAACAAGGGCTGCATAATTAAAACTTGTTTCATCTTTCATTTTGACTAAAAAGGATCTGTTTTGTCTTTAAATAAATCAGTGCAATCAGTGCCAAGGCTTCTGATTCATCTGGCATACAAACATCATAGAGCTATAGCACCTGGTTAAAAATCTTTTGTTCAACTTTACTTGGAAGAAACACAATGGAGGCAAGGGGAATTCCTATGCATTGTTTCTTCTAAATTCAGCTTTTTTAATCACTATAATGAAGCAAAAAATGGACTGAATTCAACAGATTTGCATCACATTTCAAATCATTATTCTATACAGAAATGTGTGGCCTGAACTATGACTGAAAGACCCTTTTCAAGTTGTATACAAAGCAAATCCTTACAAAATGGCACAAATCACTATTTTTCATGTACTATCTGACCATTTAGACTACTTCTTCAGATTAAAAGGAGTATTCAGGTGAATTTTGATGGTGTTTAAGGTTCTATATTAAAAAATATTTTGGTAAAAACAGGACACTAGGGAACTGCAAGCAGAAGCTATGGCAATATACAGATGTGTCAGAACAGCACAGGGAAAAGGCAAAACAAAGATCAAAATGAGAAGTATCAGAGCAAACTCACAGTAGAATAAAATATTATATTTTTAAAGCAAAAAGAGCTCCCATACCCTGAGGAAGTTTACATAAGCTGAAAAAGACAAAAGTGTCCTAAGATTTTCTTCACTTAATCCTTACTTGCAAGAACTAATTGCATTTCTGCCTTGCTGTATCCAACTTCCTTCCAACAGGAGATCCTAGTAGCTTAGATTCAAACCTCACACACATAACAGGTCTCACAATCAGGGCCTTGCCTCAATTTGATTTTTATTTTTAATTTTTACAGAATTACCATGTACTAGACACAGATGCTGCTTAACAGGACCTATACCATGAAAGCAGACTAAAATGAACAAGCTTGATTAGCATAGAGGACAAAACAAGTGAGATCTAAAGTTATCTATTCTGCAAAAGAAGAGATGCAAAGCCTACTAAGACCAAGCGTTACTACCAGGAAAGGAAAAAGTTAAAATTGCAGGCCTGCAGTGTCTTGGTAAGGTTGTTTTATTTCTTACAGTACAAAAAGATAGTTTAATGTAAAGTTGCACTTCTAAACATAAGAAGGACTTGGTACTAACTTCTTTATTCTCTTTCAAGCAACAGTAAAAGCACAGCAGGTAGGACACAATTTGAACTCAGTATGACTCTACTGAAGTTCTCTTCCCATCCTACTTTATGAAAGTGTTGTTTTATAGTTAAACCAACTGCATTACGCGTAGCTTAGGGCTGCTTTTGTATGCTGCTCCGTGCAAATACAAATGGGGAGTAACCAGCCTTTGAGCAAGAAGTTACAGTTCAGCCAAAGCGGGTATATAACCTTCTGTGAGTTAGACAGCTTATTTTTACATGTGGCAAGGGAAGAATAGGCGTCCAGAGAAAGGACATCAGCGCTGACAGGGCGTTGTCTTTTCAAGCCCAGGGCAGTAAGTCAGTTCATCCACCACAGACACGCAAGGAAGGGGCGCAAGTCACACCCCGAGGCAGCCCGACCGCCCGGAGCGTACGGCCAGGCCAGGGCCGCGCATACGGGGAGGGACAGGACAGGACAGGACAGGGGCCGAAATGGGCCGCGCTCCGCAAGCGGGCCCCGCCAGGCCGCCGCCCCCGCAGAGCCAGAGCAAACCCAGCACCGGGGCGAGAGGCGCGGCCGGGAACCTCCCGCTCCAGGTTGGCCGACAAGAGACCACCCGCTACCTGCCCGGCACCCAGAAGGGCGGCCC